TGTTCAACTACTCTCATGGTTAGGAAATTCTCATGGGTGAGGCTTGACTAGTGCTGAACGGAGTGGAAGAATCGCTTCCCATGACTTGCATATAATGCTCCTGTTAATATATCCAAGTCTGCGATTAGCTTCTTGGTTTTTTTTTTTTAAAGCAACCATACTACATTGCTAACTCATTCAGGATGAGACAACTATGCCCTGGCCCCTTCTCTGCAGTGCTGCAGCCAACCCAAACCGCTCCACACTTCATATTTGTGTATTTGATGTTCTCTCCTAAGCCTAGTACTTTGCACTTTTTCTTACTGAAATGTCAACCAATGTATTTCATTTTTCTAATTTAAAATCAAGGTCACTTTGACTTTTCCTCCTGCCTTCTGAAGTACCTCCTAGTCCACTTAGTTGGTGCTACCTACAAATTTAATAAGTGTACATTCAGTCCCAGACTCCAAATCATTAAGAAAGATTTTGAGTAGTATAGACCCAAGACAGCCCTTTGAGGAGCCTCTCTTGATACCTCCTCCCAGCAAGACACTGAGCTGTTGAGAACTACTCTGAGCACAATTACCCAACCAATTATGCACATGAATTCAATTAAATGACACTAGACTAGGAAACGCCATGATTGATAAGATGGGAACCAACCAGACTTTAGGTTACAGTCCTCACAAATAATTAAATGAGTAACTAGTGTGGGAGCAGGGTGAGGAGGTGAGAGGGAGAGGGGTGCAGATATACATACTGTCCATCTCGTTGCTTTTCTTGGAGAAGTACTAAATTTGTATATTTGCCAGTGCTGCAATGAACTGAACCCTCTTTAGGTATTTGGATGCAAGCCCGCTGGCTGTTCGAGAGAAAGATGGGTTACAGCAGACATTTTCTTTCCTTAGCCTACACTTAGTAAAAACTGGGCTTCTCTTCTAGCAGCATCAACTGTGAAGACTACAGTAGTTTTCGATTAAAGTTATTAACCACATGTAAGAGAGTAACAGCAAGTGAATTAGCCATCAAGAGAAAGGGCCTGACCACACTCGAAAAATTTAAACTCGAGTTAATCAACTGGGAATTAATTTGAGTCATCTCATTTATACACACCAGTCTGGATATTCCAGACATACCTGTGGTTTACCCACAGTTCGCCTGAAGCCTATGGTATAGGTATACCTGCTTAATTAGCAACTGCAAGGCAAATTTGATGCAAATGCATTCCAAAGCAACTCTGAGATTCTGGGGACTGAATAAGGGCCTGGTTTACATAGACTGACCCACCCCCTGGGGACAAAGTCCACCCAAGGGACAGACTGTGACAGCCCTCCTCTCTTGGGTAGAAGTACAAGGACCACCTAGAGAGCCAGGCCAAGCCAGAAAGCCAGCAACACTGGCAAAGATGAATCACTGCAAAATATCACTACAGCAACTATCACTTGGGGACTGGTATACAATGCTCGAAACTAAAGTCAAATCTGGAATACTCCTGAGGGAAGATGACAACAGCAACATCACCTGTCCTCACGAGGGAAGAATCTGCTTAGGATTCAACAGTCTTTATATACAAAAAGATACAGGTCAGAACCTCCAACCCCAGCAAGGATGAAATTTGGGTCTCTGTGCAATTATTCTGGCAAAGTCCTATCTCCATCATGTTATTAACTAACACTGTGTTAGTAACTAGTATGCCTTTAATTGCATAGTTATTGAATCAGTTAACTGTTATATTTCTGTTCAGGAGCAGACCTGGAGACTTGAGTGGACATAAAATGGTTTGAGCAGTTCTCTGTCCCCAGTCATGGAAAATATTGAGCATATACACAACAGCTTGCCTGACCCATCTTTCTTCTCAACAGGGAGAGTCTGCTCCTCATGCGTATGTGAATCTTAACTGATTTGTTTCCTATGACTGGGGTTCCTAGAGTTAAGGACTTCTTTCCTAAAGCAGCCACTTTTTTGGACACCAATTTAAGAACTCTCATAGGCCAAAGCAGAGGGGACTGCAATGGGAGCTTAATGACAACGAGACATCCTCAGCTTCCTTTGTCCAGCCTGTTAATGTTTTATTATTAGACACCAGCTGGGGAAAACATTAAAGTCAAATCTGACAAAACTGTCACGAAACTTTTCCAGCCTGGGCACAAGATACATTCATCTGCCTTGCAATAAAGATTTTAGGAGTATAAAACACAAAGTTTACTTATATGACCAAAAAAAGCTATGAACCATGGGAACATGAGTGAAAAGAAAGGCTGAATGCTGTGTATATGCCTTTTATAATCTAGAGTTTTCCTGTACACTCAAAAGTAACCTCCAGCTTCAGGCAAAGAAGGAACAAAGTTTTACAAACATTAAAATTCACCTTTTGTTCATTCACACGTTGGCTAAAGTCCTACATTTCCAATGACCTGAAGATATTTTAAACAGATATTTAGTTTCATTAGAACTTTTCAAAAAAGACCTGCTCGAGTGTCATTTTAATTTGAACCAAGACTTCCAGATGCAAAAACACAAGCTCTGTAAGTGCTAGTAAAATAGCTTCTGAGCTATATGAACTAAGGAGAAGAAAACAATATCTTTTTTTAAACTTACCTATGTATGAGATTGGTCAGTGGCTCAATCAGCTTTTTTCCCAGTCTAGGTTCTAATGGAGTAAGAGCACCAAACTATTTGGAGATTAAAACAAGAAGGGAAAATTAAGTTACCAGTGCATTTTCAGCAGAGTAAGACAGGAGCTATTATACTTTGTGTTGTAACTGATAAGAAATCTACATTAAGGAAGATGTGTTTCCCATTGGCTCTCATCTTCCCTCCCATTATAGAAATGTCTGCTTCTCATCCTTTTATTCAGATGTACATGTAATTATGGCTCTAAGTGATAGCTTTTTTTCACACCCACACTGCCGTTAATTAGAATCCAGCCCTGAAAACACAGAAGAACTAAGATACTTGCCAATTTTATAATTTTAATGAGGACCCAATTATTGGTTGATGATGTCATCAACTTAAAAAAGAGCGGAGCGAGGGAAAGGTAATTCTTGGGATTGCGTCTGGCCAGCTCACAAATAACATTTACTGCAGCGGACTGTACACCTGGGAAACAGAAGTAGGAGAGAAGGAGATCCAATCAGTAAACTGATTGCCATTTGCTTTCCAGACTCAGCCCCCAAACAAGAACAGCTTTACACTAGTATGGGGCTGTGGTTACTGCTGTGCCTCATTTCCAAAGACTCTAATTCTCTGGAATGAACTGAGCTTCTGGTATTTTAAGATAGATCTGTATGGATGTTTTAAAGCCGAAAAAGTGGTACAAACTTGTTTATGACAGACAGGTGTCTGGTTTTCTGCTTGGTTCCTACTTTAGAAGTACCAGGAACACAATTCCCCATCTTCCCTGGTCTGAGGATTTCTTGGAATGGAAGGAGCAAGAAAGATGCTGCACCATTAGTACTCCCACCTAAAAGCTCCAATAATGCCTTCCTTTCTCTAGAGTGTTTCTTATTCATTTAAAATTAAACATTAGCTATAAAACAGTCCGACTAAAATCCTTTCCTTCTCAGTTGCTCAAATCTCACTTGCCTGTTTCTCAGTTCAGACTCTTTGCAGTTTTCTAATGCAAGACACAAGTAAACATATTTTTGAAAAGCCTCATAATAAAGCATTATGGCAGATTTTCCCTCTCTTTGGATGTTACTTTTAACATTACTAGCAGCTTTCTTACATCTCATTGTAAGGTGGGTTTTACACAGTTTGTCAAACAAGTTACTGAATCTGCTTTCATTCTCCTTCTAACTCAACTTTATTGAAATTTGCTGGTTTGCACACAAGGTGGAACTTTTTAAATAGACAAACCACAGTTTAATTCAGCAAGGAAAGAGAGCCATCCTAACTATGTGTTTTGGAAAGACTATAGGAAAATTAATATTTACGGCCAGCAACTGCAAGTTTTCCATTCCACAGCTTTTAAGCTGCACTATATGTGACACAATAAGGATGAATTCAAGAGGTAGTTTAGGCCTCAACATTTAGAATTAAATATACAAAAAGAGAGATTTCTGTTGAGCTATGTGAATTTTTTTTAACTATATTTTATCCCTCAAAATAGCAACCCAATCACTACAATTTCGTGCTAGCGAATAAACATCAAAAATGTAAATTCTTCAGAGTCTTTTCATTAACCAAGCAAATAAATGATAGAGCATAACACTCAGCAAGTATAAATACTTTTTCTGCATTAAGATTAAATCCACTATTTCAGTTTCAGTAATTTTGGCTTGGTTCAAAAACAATCAGCTCTGCAGTCACCATCCTTTACTTCCTATAAACTGACATGAACCAACAACATACATGTTCCTTTTAAACGATTTTAAACAAAAAGAATGTATCAAAATTCACCAACCAGGATCTGGATCCTCCAGTTTCTCTTTAAGGCGAGGGAATGCAGGACGGAGGGACTCTGGGTATTTCAAAAACACTTTGTACATGATTAACACTGCCTTCTTCCTGATATAAGGCTTCGTGTGAGACATCTGTTGGAGAAGCAATTGCGATCAGACTCCTAGCATGTTCATATTCCCACATGTTCCTTCTGTGGTTGATGTTTTCACATCAACACCTACAAAACTTGGTTCTGCAGGGCCTCTTTCTGCAAGCTGCTTTTAAGGCTTTTACCATTTAAAGAGAACAAAGTATTGTCACACAAGTTAAAAACAAATAATGAAAGCAGTCCCTTTAAGCTGATCAAGGAGATGCAGTTTACAGGAGACCAGCATTCAAGGATCAACAACAAAAGTCCCCACTCTGAATGTATGGTGAAGGTCTGCCTCTAGGCTGTCATTCACCTTGTAGAATACGAAGACTTCAATTACTATCTTTCAGTCAAGCACACTGCATCAATTAGTGACCGCAGTGAAATGACTGAGAACAGGGGAATAAAATATCCCAGAGAAAAATCTGGTTAAATTGACATTTTCATTAAATACATGGATAACATCTTCACCATTATGTTGATAATATTTAAAAGATGTATAAAAGCCAGAATTCATTTATATGTATTACTTTACCCTATATGACTGGTTTGGGTCAGAATATAATTGCATCTTGGTTCTGCAAACCCATCTAAATCATCTAAGTGCCGACAAGACTTCAAAGGGCACACACAGTAAAAGGAGAAAAGTACCAAAAAAATCCCCATTTATGTCAGAGAACACATCCTGAAGCAGAAACATCATCCGTTAGATTCAAGACTGTTTTCCTCCTGAAAAACTAATCTGATCATTGTAAGGTGACAGAAGTGATGTGGAAAGCCGTATTACCAGGTCCAACATAGTAATGTCAGCACAATTCATGCTTAAAAAAATTGCATCATGTACTTGATTCACATGGGAAATAGTCCCATTTTGAAAATGTTTTAAACTGAACTCAGGGAGCACAATTAGTTTGTTGATTTGGGACTTGGACTGCCAGAGATTTATGTAAATTATAGCAGTACAGCTCTCAAACCCCAGAAGTATTAAAATGAAAATTACGACCGTTTCAGGCATTGTAGTCCTACATTCTATTGGGAACAGTAAATTTATAAAACAGTGTAAAACACAGTCTAGGCCCCAAGAAATCCAGAAATAGGGAGCTAGTTTCTGTCTCAACTCACCAGAGTCATGATGTCATTTGCCAAGTCCCTGGCAAGATCTGGAGTAACAAAACAGGACAAGCCAGTCAGTGCAACTCCAGTATCATACTGGTTAGGGCTACTCAGATCCTAAAAAAGGAGAGAGAGGCTCAAAAACTTCTGATTTATTCAAAGGTAATTTAAGATTAAGAGGTATGAACATCTAAAATAGGGCACTTGTATTCATTTAACACATACCAACCAGGAGTTTCATTTTACTGGGATATTTGTGCCAAGTATTTACTCTACTGCAAAAATGTCACCCAAGCCCTCCTTGCTTCTCCCTTGAATCAAAATACAGTTAGCCACTAGTTTAAAACAGACTACAGTCTGCATAAACAACCAATGCAAAGAAGATTGAAATAAAAGTATTTAGAAATATCACACTCTTGTGGCACTTCAGAAGTGGCATATGCCTCTGGAAAAATGGGAGTTTTCATGAATATTCAAGATCTTAAAAAGCAGAGATGAAATCTAGACTGTACTGAAGTTACAACAGGGGTTTTAATCACTGACTTCACTGGGGAAGAGGCTTCGACTACTCTTCGAGACTGTATCTTGCCTTAACCTTCCTGTGAAGGTTGTGAATAAAAGTCACAAAAGTTTTTGTTAAATACAGTTTTGTCTTCTCAGTAAAGACAAGCTACCAACTAAGCTGTAGAAAACATTCTCTCTAATTTTCTCTGTATTTTGTTTGAATTCAATGTATATCGTCTTTCAGATATTTCCAAGCTGTTAGATGGTTGTTTAATAATATAGTTCTGTCAATTTACTCCATACAAAGGTGATAAACACAAAACAATCTTGGAAAAGGCAGTATTGCAGGATCAACCTTTAATTACAGTAATTAGGGAACAGAAAGTGTTAATAAACATGGATAAAGTTTTGCTATATGAACTTGCAGGTTGAATGTTCAAGTTTTCCATGTCTAATGATGGTCTGGGTTTGAAGTGTCAAACACACTTAAATCTTCAGGACAGCATGACATTTGCATCTCATTTTACTACCCTTTTGCAGGTGGAAAAAAAAGATTAGGCTCTCTAATGAGAATAGGAAATCCACCTTTTGAATAAGTGAAAGCTCTAGAATTTGTTCTGAATTGAATGTGCTGTGGGAGGTGATGGTTCCTTCTTAAGTACACAGTTGCTAGGTCAATGAAGCATGCAAGAGCCTAAAGAAAGATGCTTTTAGTGCCCAAGCATCCAGAAAAAAAAAAAAAGGGAACAGCCTGATAATGCAAGCTGTGATTATATTTAAAAATACAGTAGAGTTTCTACAGCAAATAACTTAAATGTCTCACTATTAAAAAGGAAGCATTTGCCAGACCAGAGCATAGTTTCAAATAAAATAAAAAGACAAGAGCCCTGGGTTTGTAAATTAGAGATTTAATACAACCATACTTTGTAGATTCTCTGAAGCAAGTAAAAGCCACGTTCAGCCATTTGTATGACATAGCAGTGTAGATTAGGACCTGATCAATTTGCCCAATCACTTAAAATAATCAGCCATTTTAAAAGTATATTAAAAAGTAAAAGTAGCATTGGTTTAAGTTTTCAGCAGGTAGATAAGGAAACATGGAACTGCATTAACCAGGAAAGGAATGCGAGTGACAAAATTTAGTGCTGTGTCAACTGAAAGGTAACAGAACAAACTTGAATAGATGAGTACAAAAAAGTAACTGATGCACATGGCTGCTTTTTCACTTGAAAAAACCCCCAAGTAATTACGCAAGTGACAGTCAAAAATTTGATCTGATAGTACTAGAAGAAACACAAATCCAAACAGCAGATTTACTGTAGTCAGGGTCCTCACCCAAATTCCTTCCCTGTACTAAGATATTCCAACTACTCAGTAATCTTGTGACATTGTCCAAGATTGGGATTGTTGCAAACTTGTGGCCTTCAGCAGTCCAAAGGCTGAGCATAGCAAAGGCATAGATAGCTGGACAAAAACAGCAGCAAAATCTTTGGAGAACAGCAGTCAAGTTTTTTGATCGCAGACTGCGGTATCAAACTGGACTAGGCTCATAAAGAACTCAGGTTCTGTGTTAGCTTAGAGGCGTGGAGATAATTTAAATACCTTGGAGAAACAGAAAGAAATTCAGACTGAAGTAGCAGCTTACCTTGCGGATCTGATTGGTTGTCAGCATAATTACATCAGTCCCTTCATGAAAGCACTGAGAGGCAGCTAGGTAACCAATTCTCTACACAGAGAAGAAAAGCAGAGGGAAGTCAGTCATGTATGCACATCAGCTTTCCACAGTGTTTTCAGATGATCAAGTGGTAGCTCTGATAATACACCAATACAAAAAGGATGAGTAATTATGCCAACAGAATGTTTGTCTACCAAGGAATGAAATAACCTACTTGAGACAGTACTTAGCCCTTGCACCAACTCCTTGTTTGGTCTTGAACAAGTGGCTTCACTAGGTACAAAAAGGATGCAATATTTAGCTCCTTCCAAAGAGTCTTAAAGCCACTGATACAATAAACTAAGATGACAATTAGTGCCAATTTCACTAGAAGGACCAACAGTTTAATGGGACAAGGAGACTGATGCCCCCCCTTCCCCACAAAGGAAGAGAAGGCTCATCAAGGGGGTAGAAAAATATTGCATTTTTGTGGAATGACGACAGAACATTTTAGGGCTGCCAGAATTCATGAGCATTTGCAAATAGTAAACTGATTCTTAGGGAAAGGTCCCCTTAGCTACTCAGTTATGCAGCAAATTATATTTAGATCTTGCCTCATGCCAGACAGAATGATAGGGGTTTTTGGGAGCAGGGGACCCATGTTCTGGACTCTCATGCATTAACTTCTAACCAAAACTAAAGGCCTCTCATGGTTTTCTTAAGATGCCCAGTCCCCCTTCAACAAAGCATCTGTGACAGAGCAAGGACAAACACCCAAGTAAAACAATCCAAAACCAAAAAGAAAATACAACAGCAGAGAAGACGTTAGCAGCAGTCTTTAAAAAAACCCCACACTTGGTTGCAATAAAACAAGAACAGACCCTGCATAAGTGGTAGAAAGTAATGCTGATAGGTCCTGGATGACTCGTGCAATCAAATGTAGGATAACTTTAATTGGTAAATCCTATCTATATACAGCTGTCAGGACATCCATAACAGAGCAACAGAAACAGTTTGGCTTTAATAGTCTTCAATTCACAGCCAACTTACTTTAAATGTAAACTTTGATGCACTCATCACTTCAATTATATTGAAAGCAGCCCAACTGATGTCATAGCCCAGCATCTGTAACTGTTAGAAAAGAAGGCAAAGCATCATTCTTTCAAAATGCAAGACCCTATACTACCAAGAAATGAAATGAAACCTGAAAACACAGTATTGTAGAAATGAGAAGTCATAACTAATTTCACCTTCTCCCATCCCCACAAAATGAAAAAGGCCTAAAGTTCCAAGGCAAAATCCCTTTTAAAATCAAGCAAGTTCAAGAGTATTAAAGCAGTTTCAGGTGCTATACTTGCTACTTTGTGCTTTTTAAACCATTCTTTTCCCAGAAATATATCCCCTCCTCCAAAACTGCCTGAAATGGCTGCACAGAAAAAATTTAAAAGTAGAAAGGACTATTAAACAGTCAAAAAAGATCTATCTAACATTTCAGGTACAGCTACCTTAAGGGCTGCAAGAAACTACAGTAGATAAATATTTTTCAACAGGTATTTCAACTGATGTCTCAGGTGCTTTCAGAACATACTATGATTAAATTATCATTAACATTAGTAAAACTAAGTAAATGAAGATATAATTCAGGCAGGCAGTAGCTAGAAGTTAGCAAAGGAGTAAAATGAAAGGTACTGGTACATTTTGCCCCAGCAAGGCACTTACATATGTAAGTTTGCAGACAGCATTCGCTTTCACTGCAATGTTATCCTGCTTCAGCTCCTGCTTGATCTCATCGATGCACTGGGAGATGTACTTTGCCTGAGGGAAAAGAAGTGACATCCTGTTATTTGGGACTACTTCATTTTGCATTCTTCCATTACTTTAGCAGGATCCTACCTTAACTTGTTTGCTTATTTGTAATCTGTAGCCAACTGGACAAATATTTACTGCTGGAAAAAAAAAAATCATTAAACCCAGTGGGGGCCAAACTTTTTGGCAGGTGTGCTATAAGGGGAGCCCTGCACTGAGTACCAGTAATCCCCTTCCCAATCTGTTGCTCAGCTTTCTGCTCCTTGCTCGATTATCCCCAGCCAAGTCCCCTGCTCCCTCCCCTTTCCCTGCTGCACTGCACACGTTGAGGCTGAGTGCGCTACTTGTGGAGTTGGAGTGCATACTACGGGTTAGCCACCTTTCCATTAAACAAACCAATATGCTAAAGATTACAATGAAAAATATGGTGAAATAGGTCTAATAACATGTTTCAATTCCTGCTAAGCCAGTCAGCTGCACCCAGAGCCATCCTGTTCTTAAAATGTGTTAAACAAGAATGAAAGTCGGACTAGATGATCTGCTCAGGTCCCTTCCGACCCTAGAAACTATGAAACTATGAAATGAAGGTTTTACATTTTTTAATCCATCCATCCAGTTGGCTCTTCTTCCTCTTTACCCATTTATATTTGTTCTACCACAAACATGCACATAGACTTTGATTTAGAAGTAGAACCCGTAGCTGGAGCAGTTGGTGCTATAATTTGGATATGTTACTCACATCCTTGCTTATACGAAGATAAGCTCTTACTGATTAAAACTTAGGTTGTTTCTAATATTTAAAGCAGAAAGAACAATCTTCTTTAGAAGATGACAGATGCACCACGTTATTCACAACTGAAAATAAACTAACAGATTGAGAAACCTGGTCAGAAATAGCTGAATTATCTAATTTGAACGTGTAATTCTGCCTGGATGTTTCTCTTACTATCGGGAGTAGCAACATTAGATATGGAAATCCAATACTCTGACATTACTTAACATCTCTCCCCCCAACACACACCCCCTTTTTTTTTTAAACAATGAATGACTGTATTATCTTGACTGTTTCTTGGCCTCTTAGGTTGTGCCAGAGCAATACTCATGCTACAAGTCATGGGATATAGACATTAGACACTGAAGCACAGAAGTTTTCTTCTTTATTAAGTGACAGAACAAGTAAAGATACACACTTGTAGCACAGGAATATTGTCACTGGCTCAACACCCTTCTCAACATAAGAAGAAATGAGAATCCAAACTTTATATTACAGGAAGAGAAAAAATGGAAGTTAATTGCTTCTGATTCTAGTCAGCAATAAGCCTCACAGCTTTGCAGCTTATGGCCAATGGCTACTGTACAATGAGAAGTTGGGGGAGAATGAAAATAAATTTCATCTCCCTCCCACACATCCCCATTGGGATGGGGGGGGGCGGGGGGAAGAGCAACGTATAATACACTTCAATAAAAGTGCCCTATACCTAAGCCAAAGGTTTAAAACACATGCAGTAATCTAAAATGCATTTCTCATTTTCCCAAAATGTGCAGCAGTGCAGCCCACTTCCCCCACCCGCAAGAACCTGGAACCCCCAGGA